ATATATATTTATATAAAATAATATACAACTAATGACGTCTAATGACTGTGTCTCTGCGCCTCTCACAGCTGTCTCGATTGCAGTCAGCGACAATTGTCTATTAACTATATCCTATTTGGTAGTTTGGCCAACGCACAATGGCCCAGTCTCGGCTGCACCACCACGCCACGCCCCGTCCTGCCCTGCCCTGCTCTGCCCTGCTCTGCGTTGCTCGTTTCTAAGAGTGTGGCCTAAGCGCGCGTTGCGTCAGAGGCGGCCGAACCCAACGCCAACATGGAAACTGCATTCAAATTGAATTTGAATTGAAAATGAAAATGAAAATTACATATTATTGGCATAGTCCGTGTGCTGTGCAATGACTCTTCAAAATGCTATAAGTCATGTTCGCTGCCAGGCAGTGCAATTAATAAGCGCTCCAAAATGAATTATAAGACACGGTATTAATTATGTATATGAGTGAGTGTTGGTGTGTGTGTGTGTGTTTGTAGACAATCAAATATATGCATATGTGTGCATATTTGTGTTATGCAAACGCTGCACTAATTGAAAAGCGTTGTACACTTCAAATGAAAACCAAACGCTTTTCTAGGCCCTCATCGAACAAACAAGCTAAAAAGTAGAAATTTCTTGAGAGGCCGCACGAAAGGCGGTTAAAAGTAATCATAGTAAACAATAAAGTGGGAAACCACTGGGCAAAAGCGTAAAACTAAAATAGAAAAACAAATAGAAATTTTTGTAGAAGCGCGCTCGGTGAAAATGTGTTTTAGTTTTTTGCCAGTTGGAGCGTAGCCAGCTTAAAGCAAGCCAACATTACGTATACGACGCGGCGCCACCCACCTCCCCTCCCCTTTAAAGAAAATACATAAAAGAAGAAAAGGGGCAGTAAGCAGAGCCTAAAATCGATCAAACTAACGTGCCTGGTGGCACTACGGGGCGGTCTCTAAAATGGGAATGATGGAGGCGTGGCACATTGCAAAGTCAAAACAACAAATCAATTGTCACAGTTAAATGTGTTAGTTAAGTGTTTTTTTTTTCGCTTGGCATTCATGCAACTCTGGCAGAGGCAGGGGCAGGGGCAGGGGCAGAAGTCTCTGCCGCCAATCGATTTTCGAGGCCTTACCATATTGTGAAACTAGCCGAAAGTTGAATTTGTTTGAAATGCTAGATGAGAAACGCCAATCGTCGAATGGAGTGGAATTTTAATTACATATTGATTGGTTTCTAAACTTAGGAGACATTTTAATTTAATATATCCGTAAAATATTCATTTATATATATAATGTGTAAATAATTAATTTAAATTCC